GCTAATAGATTTATTAAGTCGTCAGTTAAAAAAATCGCAAATGATCAGAGTAATTGGAGCGATTATATTATTTTCGTGCAATATGTCATTAACAATACGTTTCATTCGTCAATCAAATCGTCTGCAGCAAAAATACTTTTTGGTGATCATCAGCGCCTTCATACAGATGCTGAATTAGTAAAACGGCTTAACGAAATAGCAAAAGTTGAGTTCGATCTCAACAAGATTAGAAATGATACTTGGGATATAGCTCAGGAGTCTACTAGAAAGATTAAAGAATACAATAAGGTTTACTATGATGAAACTCATAAAAAACCTTCCCGTTATAAAGAAGGAGATTATGTCTTTATAAGAGACTCTATTATCAAGCAAGGCGAGGATAAAAAATTAAAACCTAATTATAAGGGACCATACAGAGTAGCCAAAGTACTCAATAAAAATAGATATGTGATTAAAGATGTAACGATACCGTTACTAACGGCCTAGCGGGCCGTTCCACCACGCGCTTTTCTAGGCTCGGCGCTTATGGCGTCCCTAAGCTCCCACACCCGTGTCGCGGCCCCACCGTAGGGACCACCCCACCACACGTTGAATCGCGCAAATAGGAGGCCGGCCGCCGGTATATAAGGCGCTCCGGCGAGCATAGCATTACCAGTTCCCGATCCCGAGTCCTACCTAGTACAACTCCTAATCCGAAACCAATACCGCGTTACACCAGGCTACGGGCTACCCGTAGTTACGCCGGGTTACCCGGTTGCTGGGACGGCGCACCCTGATACCTAGCGTTACACCAGGTCACGGGCTACCCGTGGTTATACCGGGCTTCCCGGTTGCTGGGACGGCGCACTCCTAGTTCGTAAGACCGTACCGCGCCCCGCGCACCGTTCAACCTGGACGGCCGTTCGTATATACCGCGACCGTTTCCACCGTAAGACCACTTTGGTCTCCGTGTAGCTTTCCGTCTAAATACCGCGACCCGTTAAATCGTAAGACCGTTGTACATATACCGTAACCAGTAAGACCGCTCCGATCTCCGCGTCCTGATAGACTCTAGCACCGTTTGTATATACCGCGACCTGTTCGTATTGTAAGACCGCTCCGGTCTCCGCGTCCTGATAGACTCTAGCACCGTTTGTATATACCGCGACCTGTTCGTATTGTAAGACCGCTCCGGTCTCCGCGTCCTGATAGACTCTAGCACCGTTTGTATATACCGCGACCTGTTCGTATTGTAAGACCGCTCCGGTCTCCGCGTCCTGATAGACTCTAGCACCGTTTGTATATACCGCGACCTGTTCGTATTGTAAGACCGCTCCGGTCTCCGCGTCCTGATAGACTCTAGCACCGTTTGTATATACCGCGACCTGTTCGTATTGTAAGACCGCTCCGGTCTCCGCGTCCTGATAGACTCTAGCACCGTTTGTATATACCGCGACCTGTTCGTATTGTAAGACCGCTCCGGTCTCCGCGTCCTGATAGACTCTAGCACCGTTTGTATATACCGCGACCTGTTCGTATTGTAAGACCGCTCCGGTCTCCGCGTCCTGATAGACTCTAGCACCGTTTGTATATACCGCGACCTGTTCGTATTGTAAGACCGCTCCGGTCTCCGCGTCCTGATAGACTCTAGCACCGTTTGTATATACCGCGACCTGTTCGTATTGTAAGACCGCTCCGGTCTCCGCGTCCTGATAGACTCTAGCACCGTTTGTATATACCGCGACCTGTTCGTATTGTAAGACCGCTCCGGTCTCCGCGTCCTGATAGACTCTAGCACCGTTTGTATATACCGCGACCTGTTCAGATTGTAAGCCCGCACTGTATATACCGCGCATTCTGACTGTAGAGTTAATTAGACATTAAGATTCCCGCCAAGTGTCGCGCCGAATTCCACATTTACGCACGGCCTTCAGACTATTAAGGAGCGTCAGTCCTTTTAAGGACAGAACGCCGACACCCCGTCCTTTTAAGGATAAGGCCGCCAGGCAGTTGGAATTACATCGAAGGCCACGCGACACCCGGTAGTATTTAAGATCTGTACTGTACCTCGGACTAATCATAGCTTATTTGCATGCGACCACCGCGACTGCAGAACACGGCCGCTTAAGCCACGCTCGCTTCCCGAGCTCATGCGCGAAACTCTGTACGCACCGTGCTTGCACGTCACCTTGCGAATAACAACCGCTCCCGCGCAAAACTCTGTACACACCGTACCCGCATGTTGCTTCGCATAGCTTTCAGTGTTAAATATCTTTTTGAATAAACCTAATTATTTAAACCGCTTATACCGAGGTAAAGTTAGTTGGAGTTTCCCCCTTCTCCCGAATCCTGGCACCGGCGAGCCTTGATCCGCGGCGTACGGGAAAGGTGAACCGTTACAAAGATACCCCTGGCTTTAACATAACGGCCAAACCTTATGACTCTATCCTTTCTTCGGATAGGATGAAATCCTGGAATATACCTGTGGGTTGTGTGACGTAGAAATACGCTATTACGCATCTACTCTCCTTAGAGTCTTTAATTATTTATATTTTAAAGCCGAACTTCGAAAACGTTGAACTAAAACTTTAATAATTTAAATTTTTATTGAAAACTTTACTTTCCACCAATATCCATATTGATCCATTATTTTCTATTAACGTTAATCAATTTTCCCTCTTTCTGCAGCATTACTAAGTGTCTAACAAATTAACTTCCAAATTTTAATTTGTCAATTATTAGTTAAATAGCCAAACATTTTCAAATCGTCCTTAAAAAAAAAAAAATGTTACCTTGTTTTTAGTTCCCTTCTTAACCTGTCGTTAAGTTTTATCCTTTATTTTTAAATTGTAAAAATGTTCCCTTAAGCCTATTTAATCATAAATTAGGATAATCGACCCTCGGTCTTTCTCACTAGTCATATATTAGTATTTCTTAAGTTCTGTCTGTAATTCTAAGCGTTAAATAAGTTCCTACGACTTAGATTAAGTCAATTTCATTGTGATCATTACTCTAATCATAAGAAAAATTTTATTGTAACATTCGGGACGAATGTAAATGTCAGAATGGTCGAGCTGTAAGGTTACACCTTGTATAACCGCCAGTTCATGGCGGTAGTAGATGGCGCGCGCGTCGGCCTCGCGGCCGTTGATTGGTTGCTACAACGCGAATAGCGTGAGCTCACGCGCCTCATTGGAGGACTTGCCTCCCTTGACCGGGACTTGGCGGGCAACGGCGAGAGTCCGGACACTCGGTGTTCGACTATCGTACAAGAGAATATTGTTTTAATCTGAACACTAAGGCTGATATCGCGAATGTGTAGTACGCAGTTGAATAAACGTATTGTTTATGTTAGTAAATATCTGTATCCAGTCAACAACCCTCACATTACAAAATCTATCCACGCCTATCCTGACAGTGGATTCCCGGCGATTTACGGTCAAATAACCTGTAGATCCGCCATCCGCTTCTCACATTTGGATATCTGAATTATTTCAACAACGTCAACTTTATGGATTTTATTATACAACTTTACCTGTATTAAAATTGGAAGATTTGCGTTTCCGAAATTATTTTCGAATGAGTACCACTCAATTTGAAGAGTTATTACAATTAGTAGCACCTAAAATCACTCGATTGTATGTCATTCGTGAACCAATTGAAGCAGAACAACGATTATCAATATGCTTGAAGTTTGATATTTTAAAAAACTCTTTTACCTTATATTTCTAGTCTTTTATTTTCATTTATTTACTTTATTGTAGATATTTAGCAAGTGGAGATAGTATGACGTCGATGTCATACCATTACCTTGTTAGTTTGACATCAGTATCTCAAATCATCGCTGAAACGTGTGAAGCCTTATGGGAAATATTATCACCGCTTGTATTAATGCAATGCAATCAAACAGAGTGGAAAGCAATTGTTCATGATTTTAATGAAAAATGCCATTTTCCACATTGTATTGGAGCTTTGGATGTGTTACGTCCAGACTCGGGGAAGGATGAGTCGACGGAAGGACGCAACAACTATCTTTTATTTTCCCGAAATTAAACGTCTCGTGGCATTTGGAATCGGATCGAACGAACTGACAGGTCTGAAAAGCAGATAAACGACTGAGTCGCTGTTACGCTGGTTATTCAGACGTTCGTTCGGTGGTCCCTTTTTGGTAAGAGAATTTAATCTCTTTTACGCGGGATGGGACCAAGTGCAATCTTTCGACTGGAGGAATGAGTGGGGGTTAATAATGAGTTATTTTGATTTTTAAATTAACAAAATGTAAATTTATTCATTTTTAAAATAAATGGTGGATATACATGATTATAAAAAATTAAAATAAAATATTGTTAATTATAATTTCTCGGTGAGTGTACATGTGCATGTGTGTGTGTGTGTTAATTCGCGGGTGTTACATTAATACGGAGGACATCAGTCAGTAATGCAAGGGGAAGATTGTATCGTTGACATTTAAGTTCTGACTGGTTAATACAATATAAAACTATATTTGATTAAAGGATAAAAACATAAAATCAAAATCAATATGTATCAGTAAATAAGTGTATATGTTAAGAACGGTCAGAAATATAAAATTGGTCGCTCGCATATGTGTTACATAAGAAAAAAAACAAGACAAAAAGGAGGAAAAGAAAAATTATTCAATTAAATTTACTTTTTTAAATAGTAATTCAGAGATGGAGGGGTGGTAAATTTGTACGGTGTTTCGCTCTGTGTTTCATGTCGGCAGCCCGATGTTCGATTCGTGGTTGCTCTGGAGATGATGCCAAGTGAGGACACTGGTGGCACAAGTGCCTAACTCGCGAATTACGGTGCAAAAGTACAGAGTAAGACTGCGTGAAGCTGAAGACCGGACAATAAGTGTGTAAGTCCGTTCGAGTCTTCTTTTTATATCTCTTTTTTCGGGGTGTATTCTACTTTCTAAGAGTGGGAATCTTCCAAAACTTCAACGAATTAAAAATTGCAACTTCGCGGAAGAGAGGAATCGTGAAGTCGCCAGGACGTAACAGATGGAAAGCATGTTGTCATACAGGTATGAAATATTATGATGTAGTATTTTTCTATGTTTTTAATCAAATATTTATTTGTTTATATTTCAGAGTCCTGAACATTCCGGTTCAATGTATTACAATTACAAAAAGACCCATAGCATTGTATTATTAGCGATGTGTGATGCTAACTATACTTTCACTTTAGTTGATATTGGAGCTTTTGGCCGTCAAAGTGATGGTGGTATTTTTAAAAATTCTCGAATGGGTCAGCGATTTGTACAAGGAAAAATACATGTTCCACCGGCTGATGAAATTTATGAAGGAAGTTCTGAATATCCATATGTGATTGTTGGAGATGAAGCATTTCCATTGAGCTCATATTTAATACGACCATATCCTGGTCGAGAGGGATTATCGATTGAAAAGAAAGTCTTCAATTACAGGCTATACCGAGCAAGAAGAATGATCGAGAATACATTTGGAATACTTGCAGCTCAATGGCGAATTTATAGAAAATCGACAATTGCAAAAGTTGATACTGTTGAAAAAATTGAAAAAATGGTGAAAGCAACAGCAGTTTTGCACAATTGGCTTCGTAAGCAAGATATAACAAGAAGAGGAACATTTATAACACCTGAAATGGTCGATAGGGAAACGAATGATGGATCAATTATACCAGGCACTTGGAGAAATATGGTCGAAACTAATAACTCTGTTCTACAAAATATTGCTGCTTGTTCCAACCATACATATTCAAGAGAAGCTGCAAATATTCGAATAAAATTTACAGAATATTTTAATGAAGAAGGAGCTGTTCCATGGCAATTCGTACGAATTCATCAGTGAAGAATGATCCTAAAATATCAATAAAATTTGTAATAAATTTATATATATATATATATTATAAAATATACAACATTGAATACTTTTCGGCGAACGCAATTTTTTCAAATTAAACCGTTGTTTTTATTTAATCTTAAATTACATTCAGTCTCGTATATCATCAGATTGTATTACCACATAAGACTTAACATTAATATTTAATAAACTAATATTTATCTTGTCTTATCTAATCTATTTTAAAATTATTTAACTTATTACTTTAAACTTTTAAATATATTTTGTATTTGTTCAACATAATATTTTTAACTGTTTCGATATAATATTTTGAACTATTAGAATCTCTAATAATAGTACATAATAATAATACTATTAAAAAATATAATAATTAATACAAAATAAAATAATAAATGAAATATAATATAATAACTAAAGCATTTTAGTGTAAATACTGCACTGGCCTGCATTTTATGCAGGAAAATCACATGAGATAAGAAAGATCTATTAATTTATCATTTACAAACGATAATATTTCAAATAACAATACTCTCCTTTCTCGTCCCGGTAGTTTTCGTAGTTGAGTAGAAATAATTAGCATTAGACCATCGACTTCATCCTGTTTGTCTGGAAGTGGCAATATCGGCAATTGTACAGGTTCTGGAACAGCGCTGATTGCAGTAATTGAAGTTGATGCTGAGTTGTTGATATGGCCGCTATAACAAAATAATAAACCTATTTTAAGCATTTTAAGATAAATATAAACCAATAATATAAAAAATACTTACAAATTCGTCCTCTCTTTTGTGGTATATTTTCTTTATTATTTTCACCATCGAGATTATCACCGTCAAGAAGATTATCAGATGTTCTGTAATTATATAATATTCATAATGTTTATTATAGCTTATAAATATAAAACAAAGCAATTTAATATAATGGCATAGTAAGAATAGTTTCAGATTATGCAATATTTACTTCTTTGTATATATGGTATCGCGTAAAAAATTCATTCGGTCAAAATATTTCCACTTCCGTTTTAAAGTAGGTCGTCTTGATCCACTGGGTAATTTTTCTTTTGCCAGCTCACGAGAATAGCTATCTCGTAAAGTTTTCCATTTTTTGGCAGCTTGCTTTGGATCTAAACGACCTATATAAAAATACATCAGACATATATACATATATACACGTATATTACATATATACACAAATTATCTAATATTATGTCTTTTATACCATTTAAAGCCTTTGAAATTTCTGTCCATATTTCACTAATTACATATCTATTACGCTCTTGGATAGGTAAACTATAATTATATAGCACTTCGTGTTTTGCGACTTCTTCAATTAGTAATTCTTCTATATCCGTGGAATCTAGAAAATTACTATGCGTCTCTGATGATTCTTCACTGATGATTGATATTTCATCTATTCTCTTTCTTACAATTTTTTCTGTATTATTTATTAAACTTCGCCGTATTATTTGTCCGTTATCTGTAATCATAAATTATTGTTTAAAATAGTATATACTTATAATTTATCTTTACAATTGCTTTCAGAATATACATTATTTTTATTTATATTTACCACAAATTGGATAAAAATATCGATTTGCATCGATATAAACTTGTTTGTAGCCTTCTACACATTTATGAATAGAAATTTTATTATTATCTATTATTTCCTCACAAACACCGCAAGTGTTTACGAATTGAATCTAAAAAAATTAATGAACTACAATTAGTAGAGAAAAAATTAATATTATGTTACAGAATGAAGTGTTCAATTTTTCATTAAACAATTTAATAAATACGAGAGGAAAATAGGCAACTTCGTTTTAATTATTAATTATCACAGAGTTCCTTTCTTTCTTTGTTCTCTCACCATTTCGAAATTGAGGTTATAGTTTTTACTTTTGTATTTTTTATAACTATCTAATTCTTAAGATTTATATACACTAATATATATTGTCGTAACCCGACCGATTTCTTAAGATTAAAAGATAAAACAAGTAAAGTAGAACAGAAAAGATTGAGAAAGTTAAGAAAGAATAAAAGATTATTAATAAAATAAAAGTAAAATGAGTAAAGAGAAGGAAGTCACGGTCAAGTTCGCGGAAGCTGAGTAAGCAGCTGACGAGACAGCTGACGAGCGGAGCACGAGACATGCTCCGGTCAGGGACACCACACTCAACCCTAATCAACGACCTAATTAATTAATATATATTGAGATGCACCGACGCTAGCTCAGTAATATAGCTCATTAACATCGTTCGCTATTCGCTCGCTCATATCAACAGTATCGATATACTGTACGTATCGCGCCCGACTATTATAATCGCGACTAAGTGAAAGTGTACAAGAATCTGTGAAATATATCAATTTATACCTAACGTCTGGGAGTGTCTTATTTCGAGCGTGGATCCTAATCCTTTGGGCGTATAAATCCCAAAAGACCTCTTCCTTAGCGGCTAGAGGCACAACATTAATTGGTGGCAGCGGTGGGATACGCCAGCTCTAACAAGATCGACACCGGCAAAGGTCTACAACCACGAGGAAGAAAAATTCCGTAAAATCGACAGAACAAGAGACAGCAAAGGAAACTCCGTCAAACGGTCAACAACCACAACCGAGGAAAAGGAAGTCCATCAGGAACTTCGAGTCACCCGGTACATCGAGGCGACAACGATAAGCGGAACCTAAGAAGGCGCACCGACCTATCTCAACAGCATGCGACGATCAATGCCCGACGGCCGATGAACGAGAGACAATGCTGCTCATCGTATTATTGTAAGTCGAACAATTCAAAATTTGTAAAAGCGTGAATGTCGGAAAACCGAAACGCGCAACAAAAAAGCGTAGCGAATAAATCGTGGCTATTTAGCGAACCAGCGAATAGAGCCATTAGAAATAGCGCAGTAAGCCCTATAAGAGTAGCAGTAGAAGCACTCCGGGATATACGCGATAACGTACGAAGAAATCTAAATGAATTAAATTCAAGCGAGAATTTGTCCGAACCAGAACTCGGAGCAAACGTTGTAATCGAACGCGAATTTTCATTCGGCGAATTAGACAACAGTTTAATAGCAAATAATATAGAACTAGATATTGATGTCGAATCATCAATAAGCGCATCTAGTAGACTAACACACCGCCGCGAATTCTCACTAACGTCATACGATTCAACAATTTTACACCGACCTATAAACAGGAAAATCAAATGAATGTAAAATGTCAAAAATGCGGGAAAACGATCGAGATTACGGTCGAGATTGTCAAATTAGTCGATACGCGAACCGATTTTCATTGCCGAAACCCGATAGACAACCCCGCGTAAATACGGTAAATAAATATTGCAATTATTGCAAAAAATCCGGACACGGTCGCGAAGAATGTTGGTTATTACACGGACGACTCAATAGAGATCAATCGAGCCGAACCAAACAATATAATTCGCGACCGGAAAATAAAAATCGTAAGAGCAACGAGCAAGCGAAAAGGAGATCTAACACTTAGACTTAGTCACTTTACTTATGCGAGAATCGAAAAAAGGACAAATAAATTTATTGTTCGACACGGGAGCCGCTATATCACTAATTAAAGTAAAGCATTTAAAAGACGAAATGCTAATAACAGAAGATAAAATAGCGCTTACAGAAGTAACAGGACATAAGATATGTACAATTGGAAAATTTAGGGCGACAATAACTCTGGAAGAGCGCCGAATCAAGCACACTATGTACGTTGTTAAGGATGACTTTCCGATAGAATATGACGGAATACTAGGCGTTGATTTCCTACGAAAACATCAAGCCACTTGCAATTATAAAACAAAGCAATTAAAGGTAGGACAGCATATCTTAAAGCTTTATCCCTATCTAAAAGTGACATTGAAACCACGTAGCGAAACTATAATACAGGTCGCTACTGATAAGAACACGATAGGCGTGATAAAGGCAGAAGAAACAATACCAGGAATATTTATAGGTAATTGCCTAGTAGAACCTACGAATTACATATGTGCAGCAAGCATTCTAAATACAACGGATAACATTATCGAAATGTTAATGCCGCAAGTAAGTATAGAGGAAATCGAACGAAGTGAAACAGAAGAAATTAACGTAATACGAACGCCAAATAAAGAGGAAGTAATCCCGCGTAGTGAAAAAGTATTACCATTATTACGTACACAACATTTAAATATTAGGTGATTGGATATTTGTCCAAAATAAGTTATTTGAAACACGAATAATTACAATTTTTATACCTTGATACGACTTTTGTTTTTCAAATGTTAAATCAATCTTAGATTGCTTGGAAACAGAAATCGACGGTGAAATCGATACCGATCGCGTTTCTGAATTAATTGACGATGTAGATGGTGCCGGAGATGATACTGAGTCATTGCAGTCAATAACATCTTCGTTGTCTATTTCGGACTAAAATTGAGATAAATATATATCATATATCAATTAAATAATAAAACTGAAGAATAATATAATATTACCATTATGATATAATATATTACCATCTGTTTTCTCTTGAGGGATACTGCAGATTTGTTTTCAAAACCCATCTCGATATTGGGATGAGAACGATTCATATGAAAATGCAAATTGGTCGTATTTCCAGCTGTCTTTACATCTAGCTAACAGATTTTGCATTTAGCAACTGTACCACTTTTTATAAAGTAATTCCAAATAGCACTTTTTGGCGGCACTATATGAAGAATGTTCGGGAGTCGACCTCGACGAGATCGCCTGAATCTTTCAGATATTCGCTCAGAGTTGAGCGAGAAGCAATGTGTAGCGTGAATCCGTAGGTTCGCCTGGAGGAATAGGAGTTGAAAGATTATTCACGTGAGCGTAGTTTTAAGAACGTTTATTAGAAAACACCGGGAGCGAGCCTCGACACGTGTCCCGTGACTAAGATCGGAAATCTTCTGAACGTCCTTCGATGACCTGCCCTTCTCCGTGTTTCAGAAATCTTGAAGGCCTTCTTGCTAGAAGCCCTCGCGAGAACGGAAATCTTGCGCGCGGACGCCGGATGGTTTTTAGCGCGAGGCAGAAGACATACGCGATGCGGTGAACGATCGGCGGCTCTCGAGAACTCCCCACTTACAATTTAACAATCTTCACTAACAAAAAGAGCGATTAAACGATTTAACCATAAAGAACTGATTGCCACAATAATATGATGCGATCGTGAGTGAGACACTTCGGTTTGAAATTGAATAAAACGCGAATTTGACTATGAGTAGCGCGACGAGACACGAGCGAGAATATGACACGAGATAATGCTACCCGAGAAATAATGATTGATTGCTATCGACCAGCTCGAATCGTCGTCAGCGGCAGACTAAATCGACCGATTGCGGAAACTCTCGCGCTCTGCCGATGGAAATAATACTGTTTTTCGACGTCGAACCTTCGAGAACCATCTGTTTGTCACAGTTTTTTCTTCTCGAGGATCACGCTATCATGCGCCGATCGTCTGATCGACGGTGTTTATCCTCGCTCGTGTTTTGATGTAGTCTTTTATTGTTCGAATTTGTCAGTTGAATTTGCCGTTTAGATTTATCGACTGAATTTAATGTTTCAATCCTGAACAAAGAGAATTGTTATTATTTAATAATGCATAAAAAATAAGGTACCTCTTTTTGATAGTTATATATTGTATTAGGTGTACAAATAAGTTTCCGCCGTTTGACAAAAGTTGGCGCCACCAGTAAGTTATGGTTAAAATTGTCAGATGTAAAACGTCCTTATCGTAAGATTGGACATCAGTCAATAACATAACCTTAAAACATTAGTGATTTTTTATCAGAATAATATATTCTTTTGTGTGCGAAAATGTAAATGCCCAATTTTTGATAAAAAACGGCGGAAACTTATTTGTACACCTAATATATACAGGGTGAGTCTGATAAAAAGTCCATCATGTTTTTCTCGAAAACGATTAGAGATAGGGGAAGACATCCATTATCAAATTTGTAGGACAAGTAGGGGCAAATATTTTGGTGACTTTAAACTTGACCTTGAATTTGACCTTGAGGGTCAAAGAAGAAGTATGTAATTATTTACAATGTATTTTTTTAAACAATTATTTGCTTTTTTGTACACTAATTAACGTGGTCAATATCAACGTGGTTAATATTAACGTGGTCAATATCAACGTGGTCAATCGGTACCGTGGTCAATGTCAACGTGGTCAGTCTCAACGTGGTCAATCGGGACCGTGGTCAATATGAACTGTGGTAAATATCAACGTGGTCAATCTTGACTGTGGTCAGTCAGGACAGTGGTCAATTGGGACCGTGGTCAATATCAACGTGGTCAATTGGGACCGTGGTCAATATTAACATGGTCAAACGGGTGCCACTTGCTACAAGAATATGCAATAAAAAAGGGGGTTTCCATTTAAGAAAACAAAATTGACCTTCAATTGATCCTCAAGGTCAAGTTCAAGGCCATCAAAATATGTGTCCCTACTTGTCCTACAAATTTGATAATGGATGTCTTCCCCTATCTCTAATCGTTTTCGAGAAAAACATGGTGGACTTTTTATCAGACTCACCCTGTATATATAAAAAAATCTAGAAAATAATATTATAAAACTTTTTCAAAGAATAAAATAGGGAAAACTTGCACGCCTACTTTTATAGAAGGTGAGAGCACTTGTTAGATTGAGGTTAGGAAATAGGGAACCACATGTACTTTCACCTGATTAATAACTTTTTAAAATGTAACTCTGTAAAAATTACAAATTAGAAAATTACACATTCAACTATGGAACAGATGAGTAAGGAATAATGAAATCTAAATAAAAAAATATACATTCGCTTATTTTTATCTTCACCTTGATTATAAATGTGTTCTGATATTTTTTATTCTTCTTTTCTTAAATCATTAAATCGTTGCAGATGGCCACGATTAAATTTCGGTTAATGAGATATTAAATCTTTCTTCGGGTATTAAAATCACAAATAGAATCTAAAGGTAAAACACGGTTGGTTCAAAGTTTGGGCTTCGAACTCACACTTGCTCGTTCACCCGAAAACAAACGCTCATGGGAGAATCGAGGCCTGGGCCTCTGTTCTTTTCACGAGAATACGGAATAAGAAAGCGATAAACAATCTTGATTGAGCTTGAGACCATAAAAGCATCAAATATTTGACTTCATGAATAATGAAATTACACCGTTGCCTAAACAAAGGACTTCTGCATAACGTATAATGGATAACGAATAAAGGTAGGTTCAGATAGGACGATTTCTACGCCATAGAAAATATCGCCTCGCTGATTGGGTTGCTGCTCACTGCTTGACGCTTGTCGCGTCCTGTCTCTACCTTAAGGAAATGGGCCAATCGTTTAATTCCAACCTGGGGGATAAAAATGAAGGATTCTATTTGGCTCATGCATTTATGCATTATGCATTATGTATTATGCAGAAGTCTGTGCTTTCCGTTTTAATTCGTATAATAACCATCAGAAAACAAATCGAAAAATTAATTGTTATCACAAGCGGTCAATATAGATATATCGAAGATCGATATTCAAGGAATAAAATATCGATACAAAATATCGATATTTGGATATTAAAATATCGATACTTGAAATATCGATACTGTATTGCCCATCTCTAGCGAGAAGGACAGCGCGATGCGTTCGCAATGTGTGGGAGAGGAATAGCACGAGGCATGTACGAGTAGGAAAAAGATAGCGTTCGCATTGGCGTGGGAAAAGGATGCGTTCGCATGCACTTGGGAGAGAGAGAGATAGCGCACGAGTAGGAAAAGGATAGCGTTCGCATTGGAGTGGGAAAAGAATGGCGTTCGCATGCACTTGGGAGAGGGAAAGAAAGAGATAGCGCGAGGCGTTCGCGTGTAAGAAAAGGAAAGAAGAAGGCGTAGAAATAATTGACATTTTTTATATATAATAATAAGTTTTATTTAATATTTGTGTATCATATAAATGTGTATGTGTGTGTGTGTGTGTGTGTCTAAAATATAAAATTAATAATAATAATAATATAAAAATATAAGTTATCGTAAGGCTCGAGTCCAAATAGTTTTTTGAAGCAAAAAATATCCCAGTACATCCAGGATCAATTGACCAAATCGTACTCTCGAGCAGTGATGCCAGAATTGAGACGCGAGCAACATGCAACCGAGGTGGAGGGGATAATACACACAAGCGCAAACAGCGTACGTGTGAGCTCGGCGCTTCAGCTAGCTTCGGATAACAGAAGAGGACAGATGTACTGTTTTCTGTCTCTCTTCTTCCTATCGAGCCGGCAACTATAGCCAGAAATTAAGCTGATTAAACACTACTACGCTTTAAATCTTATATTACTAGCCAAACCTTGCAGACTTTATATTCATTTGTAAAAATGCGAGAAAATACATCATCTAACGAAGAAATTAGTAAATCTCTCACATATTTAAATGAAATGAATTGATTTTTAATAACAAAAAATCTAATTGTCTAAAATACATATTTGATTAAATATTATATATTGATTAGTATTATGTATTTAGGATGGGAACAGACTATACAGAAATTATTAAATATATTATTCTAAATACATATTATTTGATATGATTGCTCAACGTGTAACGCGAATACAGATCACGTTACGAACGTTGACCGAGCGAAGC